TAAACTTAAGTTTATATAAGCCATTGCTTTATCATGCTGCCTCTGATCTGCAGCAGTTAATGGCACTTGGGGTGGGTTTTCAACAATATCCCACAGTTCCTTAGCTTTCAGGAAACATTCCATCTTTGCAGTCAAAATTATATAATTCTTCTGACCCAAATGAGGCAGAGAGTTCTCCTTAATTTTCTCAGCCATCCTGCAAAGCTTTCCTCTGCTTTGTAAACACAGGCAGTCTCACTCAGTTTAATTTACAATGCAGTCCTTTCGTGTGTTCTGTGGGCTGGCTGGGCTCATAACCTGTTAGATTTTGCAGCCAAAATTCAAATCCAGAAAACACACACAGATGACTGATTCAGCAGGGTTCATTAATTTCTTTATATACATAATAACACTAGAAGTAAAGTTTACAATACCAGTAGTTTCTTCCAGCATGGTAAAGGTTACAAGCAAAAAGACAAGCAGCAGCTCAGAGCAGAGACCAGTTTCAGTTTAGAGCTGAGAGCACAGAGCTAAGCCACACCCATTTTCCTTCCACTCCCAGCCCATTCTGACCTTGTTAACCATGTCTCTGCCAGTTCATGAATATTCTGACAGATCTGGTCAAAAGAGTACAAAGAATGCCCAATGCTTCACCGAGGAAAGGAATTGTACTATCCAATTTAAAATAATGATGGGCACAACTTAAAATTGGTGATTATTCTTAAAGCTATAAAAAGACGAGATTCAGGATAATTTATGGACTGCCTCATCCCAGACCAACTTTACTAAATTCTGAAGTGTAGAGGCCTTTCTCTAGGCTGTGGCAACAGCATGATTTGGAAGGAGGGAGGTTCTCAGTGGCCTCATTTAAACTGTGAAACTCCCAGTTTATTTTGGGGGAGGCAGGTTGGTATTTCATATGGTAGGTTTCACAAACTTATTAACATGTTTTTTGTTTAAGAGAGGGGTTCCTTCAGTGGTGGGATTCAAAATTTTTACTACCAGTTCTATGGGCATGGCTTGGTGGGTATGGTATGGTTTGGTGGGTGTGGCTTGGTTGGCATGGCAGGGGAATGATACTGCAAAATCCCCATTCCCTCCCCATCCCACAAACCTGCTTTCCAGCTCCATTCTCCTGTGCAGGGCAACAAAAGAAGACTCCGCTGATCAGCTGGGACTTGGGAGGCAGAAAATAGATGGGCACGGGGCCAGTCAGAAGTGGTATTTGCCGGTTCTCTGAACTACTCAAAATTTCCTCTACCAGTTCTCCAGAACTGGTCAGAATTTGCTGAATTCCTCTGGGTGCCTTCTCTTAACTAGTGTAACATTTATTTGAATATGTTATCTATCTTTTTGTGTTTTGTCTTGTTTCCATTTTCTTTTAATTCATTTTACTGTTTTGCTGATTTTAATTTTTGCATTAGGTATAAATAATATAAGCAGACTTTAAAATAAACTTTTAATTTGAGAAGAATGTAAATACATCTGCAACTTCTTGAGATCTAATTAATTTTGTTGGGCTATTGAAAAATGTAACAAAAATACTGTTGTAACAGTACACTAACACTTTTAGTACCTGAGCATGCAACACCTCATTTCATTAAACCTTTATGTGATGGAATGTGCATGCAGTGTCATTTGAACAATGGCATCATCACACATACGTTTCAAACTGACAGAAATTATGTAATTGGCCTCATTTGCCTGGTGATGTCATCACACAACTAATGTAAATTCCCACCTTACTCTTACTCTTTAATACAGTAGATATTTCTGAATAATGGAAACTCCTTTGCTGTTAGTTTCATTTACAATGCTTTATAATTCTCTCTGAAAATAAATTATATCAAAATTTATATTTTTCAGTTTAAATAAACAAGGATTAGAGCTGTCAAAGACTGGACTACCTGTTATGCAGAACAGACAAGGTTATTGCAACTGTTGCCATGCACCCTACAGCAATCTGGAACAGGTATTTAAATAAAAATTTAACTCTGGCATATAGAAACCTTGTTCAGAGTATTGCAGCATAAATTCAGTGCCAGAAAAGTAAACACAGATGTCTGAGGCTTCATTTAACTTCTTTATAAACATATTAAATAAATTTTACAATACCAGTTGTAGATTTCTCCAACATGGAACAAACTCAAACAGAAGCAGACATGTTACAGGTGCAGAGCAGAGCTCCATAAGCTCCATAGGATCCATAAGTAAGGGGGGGCTTGGATTCTTGTTGGAAGATGGCTTACAGGAAAGGCTGTTGTTAGGAGATTTTCCAACTTTACTTGCTTGTGACGTAGTTTAGTGTCGAAGAGAAAAATCTATGAAATGTGTCAAAAAATGCTTATAGAATTGGGATTAGAATTACCAGTGTTACAAAAATGATTCTTTTACCATATCCTCTTTTTACTCTAACTACAAAATTTTACACCATGGTACACTGCTATTTTTTCCCCAATTATAGAGTAGGGTTGTTTTCATTTTTTTGGGGGGGGGGGGGTGTGTTGTCCTTAGTTGCTGCTGCAGTTGGTTTTTCGCCAATGTTTCTTAGTTCCATGACATCAAGTAATATCACTCTTAAAGTATTATTTTTCTTATAATCTTTTGCAATTCCAATTACTGGAATTTATTTTTGTCTCTTATAAAGGAAAAAACCAAAAGTGGATGAAAATACAAAATACCCTTTTCTCTTTATCTTCAGCATGTATATAGTTCCCAGCACAAACATTTTGTCAGTTACTGTAGGAATCGCATGGGTACAAGTAGCTTGATGGAGCGTTTCCTGCAAGATGTTCTACAACATCATCCCTACAGATACCATGATAACAGGTAAAACCATTCAATGCATTAAACTATCTGAATGTTTAATGATACAAATCCAGTATATTAAAGTAGAAATGTATCAAACTGGCAACCTGTTGGGCCAGCTAAAATACATTTGTACCTGGAAGCAACTTGAAAAAAAAGTTGTAAAAGAAGTGAGAAAACTGTAGATTGAATCTGTTGTGGCCAGGGGTGGGATTCAAATTTCTTAACAACTGGTTCTATTGGTGCAGGCAGGCAGACTGAGTTGCTCACAGAATCACAGATTCACTTAGAGATCTATCTATCTGCAATCGGCTATCTGAGTCTGTCACATAAAATTTGCTTGCAAGCAAACTCATAAAATTAACTCACAACACATCATGTATGTAAATATTGAATTTTTTATTTAAAAAAGATAAACTTTTACCCCAAAGCAGGCAGGCAGATTGAGTTGCTCACAGAATCACAAATTAATTTAGAGATCTACCGTATATACTCGAGTATAAGTCGACCCGAATATAAGCCGAGGCCCCTAATTTTACCACAAAAAACTGGGAAAACTTATTGACTCGAGTATAAGCCTAGGGTGGGAAATGCAGCAGCTACTGGTAAATTTCAAAAATAAAAATAATTAATTTGATCTCACTATCATGAAAGGTTTAATTGATTCACTAACCCAAAAGAAGATGATGATGATGACAGCGGGAGGCAGGAATCACTCTCTTCCCCTGTCCTCGGAGGCCCCCTGAGTCAGGAGTCGCTACCTCCGGCGCGGCCCCAGTCCCACGTCGCCTCGGGAAGGGAAAGGCAAAAAGGAAGAGTCGCGGCGGCGCTTTGCAACGGCAGCAGCGGTGGCGGCGGCAGCACCGGAGGCTCAGGCTCAGCGGCTCCTGGTTTTGCCCCACCCTTCCCAAGGCAACGCGGGACCGGAGCCGCACCGGCGGCAGCAACTACTGACAGCCCCAGCCGGACACCCGAACGGAGCCTGGGCAGAACTGCCTGTTGCCGCCGCGGGCGCCGCTGCGGGCGCCCGGCTGCCCAAGTAAAGAACAGGGTGGCGCCGGACAATCGGAGAAGCAGAGCAAAGCCGGAGACCAGCAGCCGCCTCCCTCGGCGCAGAAAGCCTCCCCCAACCAGCCGGCCGGTCTCCTCCTCCTTGGCCACACAGAACAAACAGGCAGAGAAGGAGGAGAGCAGCCGGCCAGCCGGGGGAGGCCTCCCGCGCTGCGAAAGAGGCGGCCAACGATCTCCAGCACTGCCCTCCTCCACCCGCTGGCTGCTCGGACTTGCCGGGCCCGGCACATAGAACAGGGCAGCGCCGGATGTTGGAGAAGCCGAGTGGAGCCGAAGCCACCTCGGCTCGCGTTGTTTTCTGAGCCCGCGAGCCTAGAGCCAGGGCGCTTTCATTGCACGGCGGAGCTTCTTGTCTCGGGAAACGCCGGGCGTCGTTGCTGCCCCCTGAGGGGAGGGCGATTCTGGGCTGCGCGATTGGGGGACTTCGTTGCTTTGGGTGGGTGGGTGGGTGGGAGCGAGGACGGACGGAGTCCGCGAAGTGGGGCTTGCCTGCCCTTGCTGGCTGCCTCTGCTTCCTTAGGGGCGGGGAAGGGGGCTCATCTGGACCAAGGGTGAGTCTCTCCCTCAGTTTCCCCTGAAGGATCTTCCGTCGCTTTTGGCTTCTCCCTACGTCTTCCCTCTGTTAAAATCCCCCCCACACACACACACTTATTTTCGGGCGGATAGATTTCGTGTCTGAGCATTCTCACATGACGGTGGGTCTTTCCCCCCCCCTAAAAACAGTTAAAAAAAGAAAAAACAATATATCCTCATGTTATATTGCATAAAATAATTTGGCCGTGAGAGAAAATAATTTGGCCGTATTTTGATTTGAGTTTGGCCGCAGAGCCAAGCTGCGATCTGGCAACCCTGAGCGCTGCTTATTGAGTCGGAGGTGGGGGGGAGAGGGGACGCCTTGGAAACCATGCAAGAACTTTTCTGCTTCCGATTACCCCCATGCTTACAAGTTGCAAAGGAAACACGGAAGCAGGGAAGCGGCTGCCCAGCTCCGGAGCTCCACACCATTTTTTTTTCAGAGGGGAATCTGTCACTCGAGTATAAGCCGAGGGGGGTTTTTTCAGCACAAAAAAAAGGGCTGAAAAACTCAGCTTATACTCGAGTATATACGGTATCTATCTGCAATCGGCTACTTGAGTCTGCACTGAAAAGCTTCAGTCCTAAGAAAGGTTCAGCTCTGCTTTTAGATTAGCTAGAAAGCAAGAAATCCAAGGATTTCCTGCTTTCTAGCTAATCTTAATTTCCTGGCCTAGCAGAACAGCTAATGGTCGTGGGGGGGGAAGGAAAAATAGCAATTTACCAAACCAGGCAAGTTGGATGGCTCGCATGCCAGCTAAGGAGTGAGTGGGTGGGGAGGGGAGGGGCCAGCCAGTGGAGCGATTTGCCAGTTCTCCGAACTGGGGACAATCGTGTGTGCAGCATTTGCAAGAAGTCATCAGCTGTGCTGCCTGGACAGCTGACAAGCGCAGCACAGTGTTTGAAAATTCTCTTGCTTCTTGCTTTTTCAACCTCAGCTGTGCCGTGCAAATCAGCTGACGAGGGAAAAGCAGGGAATAAAGGACAGCCTAGAACCCAGGCAGGCGGGTGGGCCAAACACCAAACCGGTTCGGTGTCAGCTGCTCTTCACAGCTACAGGTTCTATAGAACCGGGCCGGACTGGTAGCATCCAACCCCTGGTTGCGGCTTTGTGCTCATTAATTTTGCTTTCACTTTCAGCAAATGTATTACTCTTTTTTTTCTGTTTTGACGAAGAGGGAGAAACTATAACATCTGTTTTTAGTGTCTCTAGCCTTATGCTGAATCATTTAAATTCCTAATCGGAGAAAAGATAAGGTCTGATGTCATTATAATAAAGCTATTGCTGATGATAATGTAGCAATTTCCTGGAAAAAATCATGTACACATCATGTTAGATAAATACCATTAAACTGTGCTCAGCTCCTGGTGATTGCACAGACTAGTGCCTGCCATCTTTGTATTGGGAGTCTACAATTATAATCTTATAAACATTAATTACTGTGAATTAATAGTAATTCATATTCTGGAATGAAATGCTTCTTCAGCCTGTTCAAATGACAGTTTGTCTTATTTAACTACTGACTAAATTCCCTTGTGTAAAGACATCATCTAGATAACATTGTTTTTGTTTTTTCCTTATGCAGTTGAGCTGGGCCAAGCAAGGGAGGGGAACCAGCTAATTCAGACAATATAAGGAAGGACGTTTGAAGGGAGGATAAATGCAGTCTGTTCATTTGTTGGAAAGAGAAGATTTGTTCGGAAAGACAGAGCTTCTGGTATTTTTGCCCACCATGTCTTCTGCCCATATGTTGCTCTAGTCTAAGTAGTAGCTTCTCAACACAAAGGGTGTGCCATTTAGAAACAATTAGGTATGACAAGGTAATTGGAGAGGAATGGATAGAGTTATTGAATAAAGATATTACATGGTCTGAATTGAAGTCAGCAACGGAGAATTAAAGTAATAACAAATCTCCAGGACCAGATGGGAGTCCGGCAGAACTATATAAAGCAATAATGGAACTAGTAGGACCACTGATGCTGGAAGTGTTTAATGAGGTACTTCTGGCAGCCAAGATGCCGGACTCGTGGAGGGGGGCGCTGATTTCGCTAACCCCGAAGGAGGATGCAGATCATAGATACATCAACAACTATAGACCGATTTCACTTTTAAATGCCGATTATAAATTATTTACTTCTATCATAGCTAATAGAGTAAAACAAGCTTTAAATCCACATATCCACGAAGATCAAAATGGATTTCTTCCGTCCCGACAAATAAAGAACAATTTAAGAACCGTTATTGATGTCCTAGAATATTATGAAGCCCACCCGGAGAAACAATCCGCACTCATGTTTTTAGATGCTGAGAAAGCATTTGACAACTTAAATTGGCACTTTTTAATTCAAAAAATTTACAATATGAGTCTTGGCACCAAATTTGAAAACATTATAACAACAATTTACAATAAACAACAGGCTAATATACTAATCAATGGCGAACAAACAGGTCCAATAAATATAGAAAAAGGTGTCAGACAGGGCTGCCCTCTCTCACCTCTTCTTTTCATTTTTGCCCTAGAATCACTCTTAACACGGGTTAGACAAAATTCTGAAATTAGAGGAGTGAGGGTCAAATCAGAAGAATATAAACTACAAGCGTTTGCTGACGATATGGTTTTCTTTTTGGAGGAACCCATGGAAAAAGGATATAATCTAATAAAAGAATTAGAACGATTTGGCGCAGTGGCAGGATTAAAAATTAATAGAAAAAAGACGAAATTAATGACCAAAAACTTAACAGAAAACCAGAAGGAAGAATTAGAAGCAATGATTGGGATACAGGTAACAAAAAGGGTCAAATATTTAGGAATATGGTTAACACCACAAGGTAAAACACTCAAAGAGAACAATTATGATAAACTACTTCAACAAACAAAGAAAGATTTAGAATCCTGGAATAAGCTGCAGCTCTCCTTATTGGGCAGGATTGCCTCGATTAAAATGAACATATTACCAAAATTTCTTTATTTATTCCAGACAATTCCAATTAAGTTGCCAAAAAATTTTTTTGAAGAATTAAATAAGATCACACTTAAATTTATTTGGCAGGGGAAAAACCCCAGGATCAATGTAAAGGCCTTACAAGATGCGAAAAGTAGAGGGGGTCTAGCTCTTCCAAATTGGGAATTATATTATTCGGCAGCTAGCCTATTATGGTTAAAAGACTGGGTGAACTTACTTAATAAAAGAATTTTAGCATTAGAAAGGCATGACCTCCAGAGAGGGTGGCATGCCTTCTTATGGGAAATGGGGAAACCCAAGCAGTCTTACTTTCATAGACACCTCATTAGGGACTCATTATTAATTAATTGGAAAAAAATATGCAAAAAACACTATCTAAAAATTCCGATCTGGCTATCAACAATGGAGGCAAT